GAACATCATCCTGGCATTTAATGCTTCTAATAACATGTCGTTCCATCAGTCAGTTGTTTATAAATACCAGGCCAAGTTTACTTGCATTTACATCTGGCCTTGTTGAGATAGTTTTAGAAAAAAAAAAATCAATATTATGCTTTTTTCTTAATAAGCTTCACTTATGCCTATAATTTTGTACATCTGTCATGCCCTGTGCCTCAGGGACAGACGGGCATGGTGGTGATTCCTCTGATAATACTACACGTAAGTTCTCAGGAACTGCACAGGAATTACCTGCCTGCTGGGTTTATTGAAAATAATACATCAAACTTTTATCCATGTTCAAAACCTTGCAGCTGTGTTTACTTCTTAGCCAGCTGGTCAACAGCTGGGAGACTTGGCTGGCCCGGGAGCAGGATGTGGGTAAAAATGCCACAATGTGGGTAGGAATTTACTGAGGCTTCTTTTCTATTCACAGCACATACACACACACTCCTTGTCACCTTTTCAAAAAATTGTAGGTCTAGAGAAACTCAGTTGGGCAAGAAGTTCAGGAAAAGGGTTTTGTAAGCCATTGCTTGACTCAAGATCACTCCATTTGCCCCCAAGGTAAAGGAACCCCTCACTGATTTTTAGGGTATTTGGCCAGATCTCTCTGGGCACAGGCTACCAACTTAGAGGTCTTGTGCTTTGAAACCTCTGCTTTTTAGCCCAATACGTATCTGATTTCAACTAAGAAATTCACTTTAGTAGTCTCCTTCCATCAGATATGCTCTGTTCTCTGTCTTGCTTGAGCAAGTAGCAGGATGTGGCTTAGCAGATTGGAGATTCTGTACATTTTTTAAGACTTTGCTGCTGTTAAGATCTAAAGCTGTCCCTGCTGAATTTTGCATGGACAATACAGTTTTTGCATAGTTTAGCACAATGGGTTTGCCATATTAGCATGTAAATACTGTCCCTGCAGTCTTCCAGGCAGCCGCATCTCATGAACCTGGATCCTGGCATCCTGGCAAATACTTCGTGATGAGTGACGTATTTGCTGGATTTTCCCTTTTTTTTTTTTTTTTTTTTTTTTGCCTAATGTTTATGAACAAATTGTGGTTTCTTCTGTTGGTTCTAGTGATGTACAAAAAGAGATCTGGTGGCCCTGCATGCCAGCAATGTGCTTGCTGGAATATTCATGTAATATTCATGACAGCAGAAGAAAAACCTCAGTTCAAATATGCCAAAAGTTACCTTGACTTCTGAAGAGAAGCAGCTGTTCTCAGCAGCAGAT